CACCGTCATCGTCGCTACCGTTATTGGAGTAGTACAATTCCTCAACCTGGCGTTGAATGTTGCGGAACCGACGGGGAGGTTTTGGGATGGAGTTGAAAGACTGGGCGAGGCTTGGGATATTGTTGGTGAGTACCCTTTCGATATGAGTGAATTGGGCAAAGACTAAGAGGTGTTTAGGTGGCGCTATATGTGGATGCTTCATTGTGTTCGGTGGTCTCAGTGTCTTGATATACAAGCCCTGGAGACGACATATCGATAAGAGGAGGATGCGCAATGCACAGTTCTTGCCACTACCGCAGAGTATGGGGAGCGATATAGAGGCCCCTGCGCCTGGGCAACCGGAAGAAATTCAGAGAGCGACACCAGAGGATACGACAGGGAAGAAAGGCGACGCGGTTACGGAGGTTACAAGTGAAGTTACCGATGATATCAGGCCAGCTGCTGGGAATTCGGCAAATAGGTAAAACGAAGTGTCTCAGTGCACCTAGTGAGCTAGCACTAGTAGGTCTTCTGTACAGTACAAGGTTTATTCTGAGACCCACTTTCCAGAATAGAGTATCATCCATGGCGTTGACATCTTCGGGGCATGTAAAATAGTGTTCGAATTTCACAAGCATCATCCCGACAACAGCGACTCTTTCAAGTATAACAATCATTCAAGCATATGTTTTAATTTGACTTTTGGGATATATCCCATGATTTACCGTTCCCGAGCAATGTTCGGTCAGGATAATCCGCACCCCTTCTGCTAGTCCCCACCATTCAATCCTCTTTCCCGCCAAAGCCATTCTGAAAGGTCGCATTGACACGCTTCTCCATCAGGAAGATGGACGCTCCAGCCCAAGACCTAGTAACATCCCGTCACACTTACTCCTGCTAAATCCCACTACCAAACTATTAGCCAACACATCCCCATACTCCCTATCATCTCCCCTCCGCTCCCAATGATACTCACTCGCATAAGACCCCATCTGAGGCCCACACTTCTGGTTAATGTACTTATCAAAATACCCAATGCACATATCGCGACTCCAACCCTTGTCGTTATTGCCACAGAACTGGCCGAGTCGGATCTGCGCAAGAGCGCGGTCGGGGCCTCGGCCGAGGATGAGTGTGCCTCCGGGCTGGTTGCCGGGGCGGCAGCGTTCAGCGGCTTTGCAGGCGTTGGTTATGGCGACGAGAGCGGATGCGGACGGGAGATATTTGTCCTCGCATGCTGTTTCCCTGGGTTCGGTTAGAGGAGTGGGGGTGGAGATGGGGGAGTGAGGGAGTGGGGGTGGAACGTACCAGCGGTATTCGAAGGGGTGGCATGGATCTGGGATCAGGGGGGTGATGCCGGGAGGGATGGCGGTGGCGACGGTGAGGGAGATGAAGGTGACGATAATGGAGAGAGCGGTTGAGAGACGCATGGTGACAACGTAGAGTTTATTTGATGGTATTAAAGGATTGAGAGAAGTAGTGTGGAAGAGGAAGCGAGAATTCGATGAGAAGGGATTATATACTAAGGGGAGATAGGCAGCCATATATAGGTAGATAGATGGTCAGAAGGGTCGCAGTCGGTGTGGCACACTGTTTTCGGCGGCTATACAGATCTCTCGAGACTAGAATCCTGCCGGTCCCACATTGAGTGAGCATAATAAGAAACACCTCACTCAGTTGGAGGTGGGGATGAATGGTAAACAGGTGAAGATGGATGAAATGCAGGCGAAGGTGATGCTTTAATGGGTGGTTTGGGGTCGAAAGACATGCTTTCCGCTCAAAAGGAAATCTTCACGACACCTTTGATTCATTCGAAAGCATGAGAAGGGGATGGGCTCTGATTCATGTTCAAGGGCTTTCAAGACTTCTTTTGGATTCAAGGCCCCTATCTGATCGTATCTCCATTTTGATTCACACTGGTCTTGGGCTTGATACACATCGGAGTACTCGTATGGCCGCATTGTATGCTAATAATCATACCGTTCCAATCAAAAATTCTCTAGAAATAAACCATCCTTACACCCCCCTATGTCCCCCCTACAAAATCGTACAAATAATCCTCCTAGTAGCATACTCCCTCCTCTCCCTCCTCTTCTGCTTCATTCTCTCTCGCTGTTCTCTCTCCACGCCTCTCTCTTTACTAGCCAACTGCCTCCCCACTTTCTGCTCCACTGCCTTATGAAACTCCCTATACACTCTCTTATCCCGAGAATGGATAGGACATTTGCCGCTGTTGTGTGGCAGCCGGGCAACAGATGAAGCGCCCCAGGTGGGACAGTGGGTTACCATAGCTGGAAATTTGTTGGCCTGGGGGTTCTGAGAACAGGCCCAGTAGCGGGAGAAGTTGCATCTACAGGCTTGGTAGTAGCAGGCGCCGTATGTGCACATTGTGGGTACTGTGCTATATGTTTGGATCGGAGGCTAGTGAACTGCTTCTTTTGTGAGGCGATGGCTAGGATTTTGGATTTAGATTTGTGCGGGCGTGAGATACAAGGATCAATATAATGATACGTGATGTGCTTCATTGAATCATAACTTGTGATTTATGAACATTGAATGTTGCCTTTCCACGGCTCCGCTTCTACTTCGATACGCGCTCCTTCAGCTGCGAATTCCATACCCTCATCCTCACGCACTATCCAATGCTGTGAATGGGGCTTCGACCCACATCCTTCCTAACAATGTGAACGGGTGGAGTCTTGGACTCTTACACCTCGTCCTTCATCCACGGACAGACTCAACCTTGTCTGAACCTCCAAGGGTTAGGCCCAGTGAGATCCCTCCTGGCGGCCTGCCCTTCTCCTTGCAGAACATGCTAATCGAATCAAAAGTGCCACTCCAGAATACAATCTTCAATCACTGCACCTCATAAAACTCCAGTGCCCTCTGAACATCTTTCAAACTCTTCCTATCCCCATACGCCTCATTCAGCTCCCTCTTCAAATCCTTCTCTTCCTGTTCACCCATCGTCACATAACCCTGCAACGCGTGCTCCATATCGTCCAAGCTCTCGCGGTTCCCGTACGATTCAAGGAGCATGCGATTCCGCTCTTCCTGGCTGTGTTGCTTGGCCACTGCGCGGTTGTGCTCGTCGTACGAGTTGTATACTGCAAAGGCTATTTTGTGATTAGCCGAGTCCAGCGGGCTCGACTGGCGGAGTTGAACTATAAGGGTACCTAGGGCTATGAATGCCATAGTCGGGAGATACCTTTGGTTGTTAATACATGTTCGATGTGGGGGGGGGGGGGGGGGGGGGGGGGGGTTGCTTGGCTTACCATCGACCTAACCTCCCCACTTTAGCAGGAGGTAGTGTGTCAATGTTGAGTTGGGTGGGTGCGACGTAGGAGTTGAAGTTTGCGGGAAGAGCAGTCCGCCGCCGAAAGGTAGTAGAGAAAGCCCGTGGGCTGAATGCTCGTGGAATGCGCAGAGGCATTTTTGGGGAACAAGATGGCTTTCAAAAGTCCGCGGCTCTTTGGGAAGGAGTTTCCAGTTGTTATAGTTGTCGCGAGGCTGAGGGGGCTTTGTTACCTCACGCGAGCGGGTTTGGAGACACGGTATTGTGGATAGATGGAACTTTGTGCGACTCAAGGTGAATTGGATAGATTGTGTGCAGTATCGTATGCAGACTAAATATCACTCTTGATGAAGGCTTCCAGACGGTGGTAAAACTGTGTGAGCGTTAAGGTGAGGTGTTGCTTCTCTGAATCCCAAACGCGCGGCACCGCCCAAGTCAAATACCCAAGTCTTACCTGCAGCAACGCCCATTGTACCACGGTAATCCATTGGCATGTCTCCCCACAAACTGCCCATTGCCCACCAATCTTCGCACCGCCCTCATCTCCGCACGCGTCTCGTGTCCTGATGCCCTGACGTCCACCTATCACGCGCCGCCCGGTTGCTCGCCACTTACGCCGTGAAAGCCAGCCGGGCGCATCTCCGCCCCGCGGCCAAGCACAGTCCTCACCTTTGAAGATTCAAATCCAGGCCGCAGCTTGCCTGCCTTTGGGCACCGCGACATGGAACATTGCTGCGAGAGAGATTGAATAAGATTTCTCGGCCGCGCATGGTGGCCGGCTAAGGTATCTAAGGATAAGGGGAAGTGTACAGGCGGGGCGAGCCGGCCGGCTGGGTTGCGGATGTGGAGGCTGGGGTGACTGTGGTGAGATGTTGTCGGTCCGGATTCTGCCGAGGTCTGGGGAAACACGTGAGCGCCCATGAGTCGGACGATCGTGGTTTGGAGCACGAAAACGTGTTTCGAGCTGTTCCTACGAATGTCGTGATGGTCAGGAAAGTTCTTTGGTGATCAGAAAAGCTCTTTGGTGATGCGCAGATGTCGTGAGGTTGGAATTCGACGTGGCTTGCTATTGGAAGAAGAATCCAGAGGCAATTATGAGAGAACAATCTATTGCTATCGACTGAGTTGATAGACCCATGGCCGTCAGGGAATATCAAGATGCAGAGAACTTGGAGTTGATAGAAGATTGGGAATGGTAGAGCGTTGCGTTTGGTTAGTGAATACCAAACCAGAACGGATTCCACCTTCGATACAGTCCAATGTAGACTTTTGCTGGAGAAGCTGAACTACTTCAGAGTACAATCATATATAGCATCTACTACCCTTTGGCGGATAAGGCAGAATTAAGCCATGGAAAATAAGATGCCTAAATGCATGTCTTTTCACGTCTTCTGAGCTCAGACGGTAGTGCTGAAGACCTTTTCAGGCTCTCTTGGAGGAGCAAAGGTACCATATCAGATGCTCATGATAGGAAATGCGGTAAGACGTATATCTTTCCAAAAACCGTAGTATCTGCTCTATACACGCTCACTGCGTCAACACTCCTGCCTAAACACAAGAGCAAAAAACAACGTCGGAGATCACATGGAAACAATACCTCTAGCCTCAACGAGTCCACCGACATGGTGTTGCTTGGTCCGTGCTGAGCGCCCACTCTCACCCGGTCCATCCCCCACCGCACAAATATCTTCAAAAATATCAAAATTCACAAAAAGAATATTGGATTTAGTCCAACAGGGGATCGAACCCTGGACCTTTCGCGTGTGAGGCGAACGTCATTCCACTAGACCATTAGACTGGATTAACTTATACAGATTCCGCTTACGTTTCAAAATTATATCCATCGAAACTTTGCAAACCTGAAAATTCTGATTCTTACGGAGGTACTCTAAATCCGAGGCTTGAGATAGCGGGGTCTTTCAGCCATCACATGGGAGGTGCGGCAGCGAATCATGACAGCGAAACTTGATCACCAAATGATGTTTCAAACTCACCGCTCCACCTGCATCATCAAGCAAAATGCCTTCAACTCCTGATCTCGCAGGCCACGGACACATTTTTATAATTTATGTGGTCAATCTTGCTCTTCCCTTCAATGTAGCTTCGTTCAGCCTCAAGGACATCCAGCCGAGATCTCAACGGCATCCTCCCTCTTCAACGTTCAACAGCCCAATGATCACCACCAAGTCCAAGCGCAACTACTTTTTACATTCGAACATACACGTTCACGACCGAAGAATTGTCTCAAGTATTACAGTCTCTACTCGATGATGGAATCGAATATTATGCGAAGATCTATTCCTGGCTTGAAACTTGCAGTAGTGTTCACGGCCATGACATACTCTACATGCGATACTCTGGACAGACAACTGGCCAGCGCGCATGGGACAGACACCACAACGACTGCAGTAGCAGATCTTCCGGATATACGAATTGCTTCCTCCAGAAGACCACCCAAATGTTTCCTCACATCATCAAAGGAACCGTCGTGGAAGAGATCACCCCCACTAAGGCCCACGATCTAACTCCTCAGCAGTTGTTGGATGTTCGCGAACAGGTGATGATTGCTCTCTTTGGGGATGGTTGCCTTAATGTCGAAGCAAGAGGGAAGCATTTGTTTGTAATTCAAGAAGACGAGCAGCATGCTTTTGAGTCATTGAGGACTGAATCAACCAAACTGTTGAGAGCAAGGTCCAAGCCATGCTCAAAGGCAGTGCGTCAATTCATATCAACCTACGGTATGGACGTTCAAGCGTACGCGAACGCTCATCCCACCACTGGCACCAATATATTGCCAATCATGGATGATATGAAACAAGTCATTATTGAGCAAGTGCTCCCCTGATTTCATGAGCAACACTTCAAGCGTTATGCTGACGATTGGTTCTAACATCTTTGATGATTACTTCAGAGATCTTCGGTGGTTTTTCGCAGTTAAGAACCCAGGGCGCGCTGCCGTTACTGCCAACAGCATATATACCGGAGAACGCATCTGAGGATCTTGGTGATCAATCAGTCCCTAAGATGGCCGCTGATGGTTGCCTTCCGTTTGTAAAGTTATTTCCATGGTCTCGAGAGCATCCCGAAGACCTTGAGGCGGCGACGCAAGTTTTACGGAGTTACCTTTCTGCAGTGAGGCCGTTGGTGGTGTTGACGTACGTATGGGCATAAGGTCTCAAACGTTGCTCTAAGCTCTTTCCTCGAAACGGACGGCATATATACTTGAAAGCATGGCCACTCTCTTGATTCACTTGGCTCCGCTTATTTGAGAAACATCGACGGCTCTAAGAATACATCCGAGGATAACGCAGTCATCGTGATCCCCTGTTATCATCCTGGATATCACGCTTATTTAGGAGGGGCATGTAGAGTTGCTATGAGACTGTTTGTATTAATTACGGCGGTCGCTTGGCCAGCGATCACAGAGGTATTGCACCGATCTGACTCTACGGTTTCTCGCCTTAAGCTCCGCGAATAGATCATTGCAACCATTCAGAGATCGACAGAACTAAGCATAGTTTTTAGTTGCGAGCCAGCGGCTGCAAAGGCCAATTTCCTTTATAAACTCAACAACCTTCGAAGGGGCTCACTACTAGAACTTCAACTCCAAGAGAAGCCAGCAAGGCGGTAAGGCTTGGCCAAGGCTTCTATAGCGGATACACATTATCTGGAAAGGAAGGGAAGAAATCTGCCTCCACTGACTAATCAACCCTTGAGCTCAGACGAACTCGAGGTCATACGTGTTATGCTTAACTGTGATTAGATCGGCATGGTTTGTTACATAGGCACCTAGAAGTTCTGTGGGCATGGGCCAACGATCAGTTAGTTGCATACGGCTATACAGACCCGATGGGAGGCGGCAAAAGAAGAATTGGTAAGACCCTAAAGCAAAGATGAGGCAATAAATAATATGATCAAGGGCACTATTCTTCTCGCAGGCTTCGCTACTGGTAAGCCATCATTATTGGAACGCGAACACCAAGTTGAGCAGTTATGGGGAACATTCGCCCAGTCCTTCCCTATGCAATGGTTGATCGACAATAAAACCATCTTTTGACCTGGGGGACGACTATAGGTGAATGTAGTTGAACGCTAACGAATGCCAGCGTTGCAGAGGGAATTGACATTCGAAATGCAGATGGGAAGTCCTTAGGAATCCATCAAAACACACGGCACATTGATGAGGCCAGAAACTCCACTGGATATGCGGTTCGTAGTGTCACTCTTCCTCTGTGCATGATCGTTCTATCGTTGACCGAGAATCCCAGGCTTAACGAACTTTGGGAAGCAGAGACAGGTCCAATCGTTAACGATAACCTCAACCCCCTGTATGTTCCAAGTCCTGAGAAATTAACCCTTGAGATCATACCACCCAGGTTCTTCAAGGGAAGACAACCGCCATTACCAACCGTTGTTGGAACGATCGAACCAAGCCATCGACGAGCGATTCAAGAACTTCTTCCTGTAGAGCCTGGCGATATGCTGTGGTTATTAGACCACTTCTTCTCCGAGCTCTACTCCAATGGCGGCCCCATAGACTTCATCGACTCTAAGGATGCTCGTACGGGATCGGTATGGTCAGACATCAAAGAGTTTGTCACCAACTCTCGATGTGATGCTCCAGAAGTTGCTAATGGGAAGTACAAATTTTGCTCCAGTGATAAGTACAGCCGGCATCCACATATGCAAACCCTGAGTGCGATACTTCGGTCAAGTCAACAGGGGACGGTTGAGAAGCAAGGGGCTACAGCTATGGTGATTGCCTGTTTGGAAGTGTTGAGGGAACCGATGACCAAAACCAAGAAGAGTTTGAGGTTGCGCAACGGTCGGACAACCTCACGCCTTATTGTGACCATAGGATCAGAGAGACCAGTGGGAGTGGTGGTGGGAATTGAACAAACATTTGAGGATGCAAGGGTTGAGAGCACAAGAGTTGAATGAAGAGCGATATGCGTTGGTGGATTATAAGTACATCCAGACATAGCCATAATTAATTGATAGCCTTTCGTGAGGCAAACGCCATAGTACTAGACTATTAGACTGTTTGCAACTCGACCATAAGACTATCAAGTTTTTGATAGCAAGAAACTGTTTTCCATAATAAATATATTTAATATGCTTTTTACTATTATCCCTCTCTACTACTCTAACGTAATTAATGTCTTTTTTTCGGGATGTGCCAAAACATGCATGGGCGTTTATTTCTAAAAAGGTCTATATTCCTTAGTATTTAGTTTTCTATTTGCTGAAAGCAAGATTTAAGAAGTAGGAAATAGTTCCGCCCAAAAACTATATCCTAAAACTAACTTTTTTAAATAGTAAATACTTTCTAGTATTAATTATCTATAGTAAATATTAGTGCTTCGTAACAGCATGTCGGCATCTGTAAAACGCCGACGCAACAACATCTTGAACAACAAACAATCGGGGTCTCACCTATCCACCCTCCCTCGGCATGCTGTGCGCCTCGTCTGGCTGCGATTCTAGCAGCATCTGGTGTCCCTCAACTCCTCCCCCAACATTCAACTCCGCCGTTATTAACGGATGGCTCGCCGACCAGCCAGTCTCGCCCCGCCCACCTCATTCTGACCGAAAACACGCCTACAGTCCATTCCTACAGGCACTACAACCTAAGCGATGTCAACCGCTCCAGCCAACGCATGCGAATATAAACCGTTGCTTGCCGCGACGAAAGGATAACACAGAGCAATTGTCCCCGAATAGGAAAGCTCAGGGCAGCGAACATGATGTCTTGTTAGACGAGGGCTACGTGGAGGAGAATGATGTCTTGGGAGACATTGCAACAACACTAAAGCCATCAAGAGTTCGAAAATGTGGGTTAATCCAGCGGCCGCTGGATCTGGCTGCTTTCTCTGCCACCTATGGTCCAGACAGCATCGCCTCTTCCAGCTTATACACTAATGCGCTCGCTCACTATCCTGTCCTCCACCTATCCAACACCAATTCAAGCAGCTCCTCTATACAATCTGGAAAGTCCAAGTCGAAGCGGGCAATGAGTCTGGCCAAGACCTACAGTGATCTGCAGCTCTTGAACAAGCCAGTTAAATATGGCGTTATGGATGTGGAGCGGGACGACCTGCCAGAAGACATACGCGTGCTCATTGAGGATCTTCAGACGCTGTGTGAAAATGTGGGCATAATACCATCAAAGATGCAGGTAAGGTGGTTGACTTATAAAGGGATCCCGGACTAACTATACAGGATCGCATCGCTAGCGCGAAGAAGCGCTCCTACTGGACGTACGAGACAGGCCGTGACGAGATTGATCTTATGATCGAACTGGATATGATAAGAAGGGTGCAAGCCGCGGCTGTTTCGCTGTCCTCCACTGGGGACCATGAGCCGCAGTGGTATTGCTCGGTGCAGTGGCCGCTCTTGGACGTGGCCTTCCGTCACATGTCTCATATTGAGCCCAAGCAGATGTATGTATTTTATGTTACACCTGATATCAGCTGTTGACCTTCAGATCCCACGCCCTCCCTATTAAGGAATGTCTACCCCAAACCGGTGAACGATATTCCGAATCTCGACTTGTCGACTTCGCCATCAACCTCATCCCGCAATCCGTCTCCGACGACTCTCTTTCAGAATGGCTGAGAAGTCAGCCCAAAAACCTTCGCACGGTAAATCAATCGCTTTATGCCCCACTTTGCCGACATCCCACTATGATATCCATTGAGGTCGAGGTCAATGGGACCGAGGAAGAGGCCTGGGTCCAAATTGGTATCTGGCTGAGTGCGTGGCATGAGCGAGTCGGCCAGATTGGTGCTAATCAGG